GATTACCACATGGTAGCTGATGTGTTATAAATGATAACCACATGGTAGTTGATGTGTTAGAAAGGATTACCACATGGTAGTTGATGTGTTATAAAGGATTACCACATGGTAGCTGATGTGTTATAAATGATAACCACATGGTAGCTGATGTTTTATGAATGATTTTCTCATGTTATCAAGTTGCAGTTAATGTTTTAGAAAGGATTACCACATGGTAGTTGATGTGTTATAAATGATAACCACATGGTAGTTGATGTTTTATGAATGATTTTCTCATGTTATCAAGTTGCAGTTAGTGTTTTAGAAAGGATTACCACATGGTAGTTGATGTGTTATAAATGATAACCACATGGTAGCTGATGTTTTATAAAGGATTACCACATGGTAGCTGATGATTTATAAATTTTATCTTTCCTCAATTGTATATTCTATGTTAAGATTTCTCTGATGAAGAAACTCAAGCCAGGTTGGTGTTTCAAAGCAGAAATTTGTGTCCTTGTGGTCAATAATAACATGTTTCATTTTCCTAAGGTGTACTTCACTGTACGGTACTCCTACCATGTTTATTGACATACTTCAACATGCGGATTTTGAAAAATACAACCTCACAAGTTTACAGTCAGGTAAGGCCTAAAATACTTAGTTTAATGACTTTAAAATAGTTTCAAACTATATATACATACACACACACACACACATATATGCATGTCTCTCTCTATATATATATACATTTGTTCATGATGTACCTGGTCATTGCATAGTGTATCCCATTTTTAGTACCTGGTTACTGCATAGCGTATTTTCCCCCATGTTGTATTGTATAAGTTTTTGTGGTTTGAAAGTTAAGGTTTTGAATTAGAAAAGTCTGGAAGAATCAAATGGTTCCTTGTTATCTTTACGTTAAGTTACGAAACATTGGAAACCAATAAGCCTAATATTCAAACCAGTAAGCCTAATATTTAAACCAATAAGCCTAATATTTGAGATAAAAATCAAGTTTTGCTGTTTGTTCGTTTTCTTTTAATTTCCCAACCAAGAATTTCAAATCAAAGTTGTGTAAAAAATGAAAATAGCATTTCAGAACTATCTGCCAAGGAGGCTTTTTATACACTACTAGAATTATTTTCTGTGCTGGACAGTTATCACAAATATCAGGCCTATTTTTTATGTTTTATTCAGGTTTCCACTGAAGTCGAACTAGAGACAGCAAACCGATATTAACCCGAGTGTGTGTTTGTGTTTTCTTATAACAAAGCCACATTGGGCTATCTGATTTTAGCATTGTAAATCCCAATACTTACAATTGTCCCACTAGAGACTACTAACTCGAATAGTCAAAACTGTTACGAAGTCATACTCCAGTAAACCGTACTTAACTGGTTTAGTAGTGACGAAGTTACATGACGATCACAATTGGACATGATTATAAAATTAGCAAGCACCTAAACAGGCATGACTGATGATGTTGAGCTAGGTCAGAGAGAGGCATGACTGATGATGTTGAGATAATTCAGAGAGAGAGGCATGACTGATGATGTTGAGCTAATTCAGAGAGAGAGGCATGATTAATGATGTTGAGCTAGTTTAGAGAGGCATGACTAGTGATGTTTAGCTAATTTACAGAGGAGCGTGACTGGTGATTTTGAGCTAGGTCAGAGAGAGGCATGACTGATGATGTTGAGCTAGGTCAGAGAGAGGCATGACTGATGATGTTGAGCTAGGTCAGAGAGAGGCATGACTGATGATGTTGAGATAATTCAGAAAGAGAGGCATGACTGATGATGTTGAGCTAATTCAGAGAGAGAGGCATGATTAATGATGTTGAGCTAGTTTAGAGAGGCATGACTGATGATGTTGAGATAATTCAGAGAGAGAGGCATGACTGATGATGTTGAGCTAATTCAGAGAGAGAGGCATGATTAATGATGTTGAGCTAGTTTAGAGAGGCATGACTGGTGATGTTGAGCTAGGTCAGAGAGAGGCATGACTGATGATGTTGAGATAATTCAGAGAGAGAGAGAGGCATGATTAATGATGTTGAGCTAGTTTAGAGAGGCATGACTGGTGATGTTTAGCTAATTTACAGAGGAGCGTGACTGGTGATTTTGAGCTGATTCAGAAAGGTACAACTGGTGATGTTAATTTAGTAAAGCATAGTAATAATTGTTATTTTATGTTAATCCTATTTTAGTGAGTTTCTGTTCTTCATATCTATTTTAATATTTAAAATTGGTATTTTTGTAGGTAGTAGGAAATGTATAATATTCAGTACTAAAACTAACTCTATAGTTTGATACATGTGAACATTTAGTTCAGTAAAATCACATATGAAAAATAAATTACAGTAAAAAATGTGTAAAATGTATAATTGAACAAAAGGAAAAAAGTTTTGTACTAAGAAATTAAAACTTGTATGAAATATTAGGGAGCAGATAATATGTCTCTTGTCCGTTCAGTAAGACTGGTATGGATGGATAATGTGTGTCTTGTCTGTACAGTAAGACTGGTATGGATGGATAATGTGTCTCTTGGCTGTACAATAAGACTGGTATGGCGGATAATGTGTCTTCTGGCTGTACAGTAAGACTGGTATGGATAGTAATGTGTCTCTTGGCTATACAATAAGACTGGTATGGATGGATAATGTGTCTTCTGGCTGTACAGTAAGATTGGTATGGAAGGATAATGTGTCTTCTGGCCATACAGTAAGACTGGTATGGATAGTAATGTGTCTCTTGGCTGTACAATAAGACTGGTATGGATGGATAATGTGTCTTCTGGCTGTACAGTAAGATTGGTATGGATAGTAATGTGTCTCTTGGCTGTACAATAAGGCTGGTATGGATAGATAATGTGTCTTCTGGCTGTACAAGAACATTAATATCTAGTCTGAAAGCTGTGGTTACATTGTTTACACCTACGTAGTTACTGTGGTTTCTAACACTAGGAATCCCTCTTTATTATAGGAATAATGTCGGGGGCTCCGTGCCCAGGTGAAATCCTGGATAAGGCTATGACCGAAATGCATATGAAAAATATCTGTGTAAGAAACTTATTTTAGAATATTTTTTATTGTAAAAGCTGAATTAACAATGGAGTTAACTGATTTAATATAAAAGTTTAAATAATTGTCAATGAAATCAGTAAATTAAAATTGAATGAAGATAATTATTTGACAAAATGGATTAAACCTTGTCTTCTTGTTCTATTTACGTCATATGTGTCTAGTTTTAAACAATTCGTGTATAATTATCAGATATTCACTACCTGTTTATACCTTTAAGATAGTGCTCTGTTTATAAAACAGTATTCATCGCTTGTTTTCATGTACAGGAAATTGTTTTGTTTAAATTATAAAAACATGTTCACGACTTGTTTCATGTTCAGAAGGTTGTTTATTTAAATTATAAGTATGTGTTCCTGCCTTGTTCACATGTTCAGAAGGTCGTTTATTTAAGTTATAAGTATGTTTTCACCACTTTTTTTTCATGCTCAGAAGGTTGTTCTCTTTAAATTATGTTCACGTCTTGTTCACCACTTATTTTCATGTTCAGAAGTTTGTTTTATATAAATTACAACTATATGTTCACGATTTGTTTTCTTGTTCAGGAGATTGTTCATTTCATTCCATACACATTCATTGTGTAGTTATATGTAATAAGTTTAAATATAAGTAAATATTAGTACTGGTTTGTTTTCCCTGCAGACGTAGCATTCTATAACACACTGTGAAAACTTTCGTGTATCAAGATCACAGTTGTTTCTCTTACTGATCTAATTATTGAAATTTGTTTAACATCCCACATAACTTTAAAAAGTGCTTTTTCACTTTAACTCATTAACATAATACCTTTGTTCATCTAAACTTTCGTTTTTTTAATAAAAAGATAATGTACTTTGATTTCAAGATACAAGAAAATAGTTCAATTATAAATCCTACCAAGATCACTGATTTGAAGCTTTAATTTTCTACTTAAAATAGGTAGCCTACGGAACGACAGAAAATAGTCCGGTTATAACGTTAAGCTTCCCAACAGACTCCGTGGCTAAACGTTTAAAAACTGTGGGTACTCCAATAGACTATGTAGAGGTAAACACCAGTGGCTACACTTACAACTACCAGTTAACCCTACTTTAGAAGTGTTAATAGTAGTTTTGACGTATCTATAGTTATTACAGCGGCCATACATCTTATTATAACACCAGTGGCTACACTTACAACTACTAGTTAACCCTACTTTAGAAGTGTTAATAGTAGTTTAGACGTATCTATAGTTATTACAGCGGCCATACATCTTATTATAACACCAGTGGCTACACTTACAACTGCCAGTTAACCCTACTTTAGAAGTGTTAATAGTAGTTTAGACGTATCTATAGTTATTATAGCGGCCATAGATCTGATTATAACACCAGTGGCTACACTTACAACTACCAGTTAACCCTACTTTAGAAGTGTTAATAGTAGTTTAGACGTATCTATAGTTATTACAGCGACCATAGATCTGGTTATAACACCAGTGGCTACACTTACAACTACCAGTTAACCCTACTTTAGAAGTGTTAATAATAGTTTAGACGTATCTATAGTTATTACAGCGACCATACATCTTATTATAACACTGGCTACACTTACAACTACCAGTTAACCCTACTTTAGAAGTGTTAATAGTAGTTTAGACGTATCTACAGTTATTACAGCGACAATACATCTTATTATAACGCCAGTGGATATAATTACAACTACAACTTAATCTACTTCCTGTACTTCCTGTTTCATAACAACGTAATCTACTTCCTGTACTTACTGTCTCATAACAACTTAAAAAATCTTCCAGTTTCATAACAACCTAATCTACGTCTTCTACACATTGTGTCATAACAATTGAGTCTACTTCCTCTACACACTGTGTTATAACAACTGAGTCTATTTCCTGTATACACTGTGTCATAACAACTTAATCTACTTCCTCTACACATAACAACATAATTTATTGTGTTATTTATTCAAAAACAAATATTAAAATGTCTGTAAGCGTTAGATTTTCTGTCTTTCAATCAAATATGTTTTAAGGTGAAGATTATAGATGAAAAAAAGAGAGTCGTTCCAGTGGGCACTGAAGGAGAACTCTGCAGTCGTGGACATAACACCTTCCTGGGTTACTGGGACGACAGAGATAGCACTATGGAAGTGTTCAGTGACGCTAGGTGGTATCATACGGGGTAAGTTGGAGACGGAAGTGTTTAATAAAAGTAGTCTATAAAACACGGGTAAGTTGGAGACGGAAGTGTTTAATAACAAGTAGTCTATAAAACACGGGTAAGTTGGAGACGGAAGTGTTTAATAAAAGTAGTCTATAAAACACGGGTAAGTTAGAGACGGAAGTGTTTAATAAAAGTAGTCTATAAAACACGGGTAAGTTGGAGACGGAAGTGTTTAATAAAAGTAGTCTATAAAACACGGGTAAGTTAGAGACGGAAGTGTTTAATAACAGTAGTCTATAAAACACGAGTAAGTTGGAGACGGAAGTGTTTAATAACACCAGACGTATCATTTGAAATAAGACAGTAAATAAGATAAGAACCTTCAGAACTTTAATACTTTTCCATTATATTTTCCTTTCTTAACATTCATCTTATGTACTGTATTTTCCTTTCTTAACATTCATCTAATGTACTTTATTTTTCTTTTTTAACATTCATCTTATGTACTGTATTTTCCTTTCTTAACATTCATCTTATGTACTGTATTTTCCTTTCTTAACATTCATCTTATGTACTTTATTTTCCTTTCTTAACATTTATATTATGTACTCTATTTTCCTTTCTTAACATTCATCTTATGTACTTTATTTTCCTTTCTTAACATTCATCTTATGTACTTTATTTTCCTTTCTTAACATTTATATTATGTACTTTATTTTCCTTTCTTAACATTCATCTTATGTACTTTATTCGGTTTACGTCCAAACATGAGAGCTTTCCTGTTATAGATGTGGTTATATTTTACATATGAACCTCAGTATAAAAACTTATTAATTAAGTTATGTGATTAAAGTGGACTATTTTTTTTTACCCGGATGTCTCTAAAATTTAAATATTGCTTGTGCTTACAGCGACAGAGCAGTAATGGATGAAGATGGCTACGTCAGCATTGTCGGTAGATTAAAGGATGTCATCATTCGAGGAGGAGAAAACATCTTCCCTCTAGAGATAGAGGAATTTCTTCATATGCATCCAGATGTCGCTGAAGTGCATGTAAGAACCAACTGGTATTGTCTTAAACCTACTGTATTAATTGTTTTGCTTGTTTACGTCAAGCGGCTTCGTATGGAGGTGAGTTATTATAACGTAAACGTTAAACAGGACGTTCATTAAACAAGTACATTATTTGACAGCTCGGGCCTTGCTTTGCAGAAAAAAGGGGTTACTAGAACGTACAAATTAAACACACTGATTGCGAATGTTTTTAAATATTTAGTGAGTCACGGACTCAAATCTCTTCGTTGAACCTTTTCAGATTAATCTCACTCTTCATTGGTAAACGATTAGCCAATCAAAATTAAGAACGATGAGAGCAGATAATCCTCGATTAGCTTTGCACAAAATTCAATAAACGAACAAAGAAATATTTGGTGGCCAAGTGACGTTTGGTGGTAAGTTAATATATTGTAAAATGAATGAAGCCACTGGATGACAAAAAAATAATCAGAAATCAGTGGATGAAAAAGACGTATACGTGACTAACGTATCGTCAAAACAACCATCATTGGTTCATCTCTCCATTACAGTGATTTTAATGATGTTAGAAAAACACGTAGTTTCAAGAAGTCTTGAGAGAAATGAATAAAAACCATATAACCCGAGCGCTTTCGAAAGGTGGACCTTTCTTCTTCAGTAGCAAATTGGGAATTTTAACAAATTCACTGTATTTTCAGTCCCATCATATATTGTCCACCGCCAAACTCCATAGTGATGCAGTCCAAAGAAGACTCAACGTCAATACAACCTACTTTACCTAAACTATCCTTAAAACAAGGACTAATACTTAAAAAATAAACATATTCAACTGTTTCTGGAATATTGCCTTTATTCTCTCCTTTCTCTACCAACTTTATCCTTTTAAATAAAACTGTACTTGTGAACAATATAAGTAAATTTGTAACGTTAGTTAGTCACCATGCATCTATATAAGAAAGAACTATTTTTTACACAGGCCTGCCTGTAAATTTAAGCTACATTGCTTGAAGCACTTTCTCAAGTTCGAAATAATGTGATCTACCTTTAACTACTGTTATCTCCCCATCAAATACTGAAGTCCATACCACAAAGCTTTGGAACCTAGCAGGCTATCTGTTTCATTTTCTTGAAATTTTTCGACTTCTACTTTTGAAATAAAGAAATTTTTATATTCTTTAGGCTGAAACATAAATCACATCCATATGTTATCTCAGTTCATATGCAACATCAAGTCACTTTCTTGTTTATAGGATTACCTTTGTTAACGAAAGAAATAATGAGTAGATTTTGGTGCTACAACATAAACTAAGGAAAGAAATAATGAGTAGATCTTGATGCTACAACAAAAACTAAGGAAAGAAATAATGAGTAGATCTTGGTGCTACAACATAAACTCGGAAAGAAATAATGAGTAGATATTGGTGTTACAACATAAACTAAGGAAAGAAATAATGAGTAGATCTTGGTGCTACAACATAAACTACGGAAAGAAATAATGAGTAGATCTTGATGCTACAACATAAACTACGGAAAGAAATAATGAGTAGATCTTGA